AGAGACATGCACAGAAATGCACCAAAAACCCCATGCACAGTGCACCAAACCCAAGCACTGGACTGCAGCAAACTGCAGGAGGGAGGTGGCAGTTCCAGGGGCTTGGATGACGCTGTCATCCGTCACTGTGAGAATCCTGTGGAAAGCAAATTCCCTAAAAATTGCCCCAGAGATTCTCTCTCACCACATACTTGCACGCTGGCCAAGTCTCCTTCTTAACACACTTTGCCTCTTGTCTTGTTTTCCTGGCTTCCAACAACAAGCCAAATAAACCTCTGGAAACAATGAAAGCATTAATGGAAAATGTCATGCCCATCAATATGCGCCTTTGTGGCTGTGGGAGTGGAGAAGGAATGATGTCACTGGGGGGAATAGCTCAAAAAGTTCCATTGAGGAAAGGGATCTGCCTTTGACAGATGCAAAACTGATCCCAAAATATGCACTGTGCCACCCAGATATCCCGGAGAGCACTGAGCTGTGATGCAGCACGGACCAGGAAATCAGTTTAATTCAAAAATTACAGAAACAACTTGTGCTTATTCACCGTGGGGGCATAGAGGGGTGATGAGTGTAGGGTTTAATTCTGGGAGTAAGGACATTGGGGGGAGCATTCCCCATAATCTGAGGCATAATAACAACCCCCCAAGGTGTGTGTGAGATGCTGAGGCTGGGTGAGGCTCTGCAGCTGAGCCTTTCGCTGGGCTGTTGAGTTTCCCTGCAGGACTTTGCAYCAAACCAAATTACAAGGCATCACTGAAGTCTGCTCCTCTCCCCTTGGCTGCCTGATGGATCTCAGGTGGTTTCAAGGGCATGACAAAGGRATGAGCCTCTTCTCCTGGTGGCAAAAATGTTCATTTTCTTGTTGACTTTGTCCTGAAGAGGCCTGGAAACAGCAGTCTGGTGCCTTAGGGGCTGGGCAGTGGTTCAAAAAGCCACCCCTGTTCATCTCCAGCTCYCTCCCTTCAGTGGCTCAGCTATTTTAGGTTCATCACTTCCCAGCTCTCTGGCTGCTGCCTCTGCACACTGACAGCTACGCTGGGTTGAGATCAGGTAACAGGATTTTGAATGTGAGAGCAGCCAACACTGTGATGGTTCATTTCAGATCCAGATGTTACACTCCTGAAATTCCTGGGGCGGGGGGATCTGAAATTCTGGTTTCTGCAGCTACAGAGGTCCAGAGTGAATCAGGGTTTCCATTCTGGGCTGGGTAAACGCTGCTGTAAAACATTTCACCACCTCTTTGATGAAAAAGGTGGTGAAAACCTCACTAAAAACCTGAGACTTCCTGACCTGGGAATAAGAGTGAAAAGCAGAGTCTCAGCAAAGCTTTCTGGCTTTCCTCTCTACAGTCACTCTCTTCTCAGGAGCAACCCTGGAAGAAAATTAAATCAACTTCCAGTGCTGCAACAAACTTTATATTGAGAAAGTACCAGCTCCTCGCAGTCTGTGCTGGGATATACAGAAATTATGGACTTTTGCCCAAACCCACAATCCACAGGGCTTTTGCTGTTGCTGTTGATGAAAGGCATTAGCAGGTATGAAACAAACTGAGCAGCAAGCCTGCCTGCCTTTGAGCTCATCCATCCTCCCTCTCTCATTTGCAGCACGGCAATTACCCACTGCCAGAGGGATCCACTGCCACAAACAGGGGCAGACAGCTCCAAATGGAGCATCAGGGAGTGGTCAGGCACAGTTCTGTTCTGGGAGAAGCGGTGGTGCAAAAATGTCAGYGCAGGGCTCAGAGTGTGTCCGCACTGCAGAGAGCAGCATTGCCAGGGACAGCTGAGCTGCTGGCACAGGGAGGACACAGCCAGCTCTGGTGCACCTCAAACCCAGCTTAAGTCCAGCTGAGAGGGACCTTGAGSAGTCTGGAGTGCAGGCAGAGCTCCATCCTGCTGCCCTGTGGCTGTACCCAAAGCTGGGTCAGGTCTGCTCTCTGTTTGCCACACTCAGTCCTGGAGCAGRCTGGCACATCCCTCCCTGCTGCAGATTGCCTTGCAAAGTAGCCAAGGCCACTGGAGGGACTGCTGTGGACCTGCACCCTCTCACAACATTCAGAGATGTGCTCCCTTCCCATTGTTCAGATGATRCAAATCCTACTGGTCCTTTCATCGGGGTGGATGATTTCTGGCTCACCTCCCCCAAAAGTCGAGTTGTTACAGCTAGAATCCAACTGAATGCTCCTGTTTATAAAGCAAAGGCCAGCACAGCTCACATTTCCAAAGCATAGCTGGATCTGGTTTAGAGAAAGAGCGGTGAAGTCATAACAACTTATTCTATCATTAAATTCAGCTGGCCTGGTTTGGGCACGTTTGGGAAACAAAACTCGAGGCTGAAGTTAAGCAGAACCTTTTTTGGGTAGATTTTGTACTCCAAAATGCTACAATTTGTGGTTGTTAGGGTTCCTTGACAAGGCTCCTGTGCAATGCAAGCATGTGAAGGGTCATGCTAAATGTCCACCACATGCACAGATTCCTCTCAAGGTTTTCATTATAATTTTTTTTCCCCTTAAAGATTTAATTCCCWAGGCTGTTGTTAGAAGTAGATTCAGTCATATCAATGGGAGGAATTCCACCTGTTCACATCAGGTTTTGAGGGATCCAGACACACTTTTAAAAAGTATTTCCTAATAAGCATTCCAGCCCTTGTCCCTCCAAGAAACAGCAGTCATGCTTCTCACTTCCTTGCACGTACCCAAATCACCCATGGCTGGTCTGCAAAGGGCCAAGGCAGCACAAGAACCCTCTGCTTACTAAACAGAAGAATGTAAATGAATGTCAGTCTCACCTCTAATGTCACACAAGAGTCAACACAGGAGGATGATATTCCACCAAAAGCCTTGGCCCGCAGGTCACTGTCCCCCTGGCAGCCTGCTCCAGCTATTCCAGGAAAGTCAACAGAGCTGGGCTGGTCATCTCTTCCAGGTGGGTCAACAAATGAGACTGCCCAGTTCATCTGCACTTTTTAAAAGCGTAACTTTTTGAACTGGGAAAATATATACTGAGCAAATTTCATTCTAGCTCAGACACGCTTAGATAAATCAGAGTACAAAGTTCTTCCATTTGTTTTGTTTCTCACAAAAGCAAAAAGGGCTRATCCACATTGTTGACTGTACCAAGYTGATAAATCAGCCGATTCTATATTTAAGTTTCTGAGTTTCCACACATGATGAAGAAAGATTAGCTGTCACAATTTGGGGACCACTGTCAAAACCTGTAGCTTTTAAACACTTTCTTACACAGCTCCTGAGTTTTGGGCCAAGTTGTGATTTTAAGGGATCTCAGTGAAGTTGTGGATCAAATGTAACAGCCAAATTAATGCAAACAAAAKGTAGCAGGTCAGGTAACTTGCAGAATAAATGCTTGGGAGCATTACTCTTTACATAGACAATTTTACTTGGAAGCACCTGTTCTGAACAATTCAAAACTACTTTTTATTGTAAGGGAGGCWGAGTTAGGCTGAGAGAGGATCGGGATGAGAATAATTAAAAGACTAGTTTTTACAGTAATGCATTCAGCTTCCCAGCTAAATCTGTCCTGAGGTCTCACTAAGGACATATAGAAAGTGCTATAACTCCCATTTGATGTGCAGCACAGAGGTCTGCTCCTACATTTAGTTAACAGCACTTTGTTGCTGCTCACAGCCATGGTAACTTTGCCTGGCTGTTCTAAGATATTTCTGCAGCCACTGGAAAAATGTGAATTTTAATATTCTGCCTGGATACAATAGAAATGTGAATAMGTGAAGCTCTTGAAGCAGAACTCATCCTTTGACTCGTGGTTGGAAGCGATGCCTTTCTTGACTTTGTAGCATTGTTGAAGGTTCAACAAATTTCCCCTTTGACCTCCACATACTCTGGAGAAGGGCTCCAAAAAGGATCATACYTGAAATTCCCTAAAGCTTCACATTTTATGGGGCATGTAGTACAAGGACTGAGAACCACGGCTTCARCTGAGCATTTGGGTGTTCACATCCAGTGAGGGCTGCACTGGATGGAGGATGAGGAAGAGATCGAGGAGATTGTGTGGGAGGTGTACAGGCACTCCTCAGTCCATCATTCTACACTCACTGTTTTTAACATCACTGATCACATTCAGACTGGATAGATTGCTTCGGGACTTCCCTCAGCCCTTAAGAAACATTCAGGTGTTTCTTTTTAAATCACGACTAATTACAAGATGTGAGCTGATGCACAACGACTCTGTCTTTTTCTGCAGCCATCTTACTCTTACCCAGCCTTGTTTATTTAATGGTGTCTTAATCCAAGCTAATCACGTCCCAAGCAGCAAATTATGCTCTAAATGACAATGAATTATGTTAGCAGGAGGATAATCAGGGGAGAGCAATCCAATCACTCTTATTTTTTTTCAGCACACCTTAATCAAAAACGGCAGAGAAGAAGCAGAGACWTTGCAGAGGAGAGGAGTAAAGTATTGTTGAATGTACCTGGACCTGCATTTAGCAAGAGTGAGGAGAGTGTAGGAGCCTCCCATCAGAGCTGTGCCTTCAGGCTGCTATGACTGCAGGGCAAGAAGCACAGAACTCTGGAGGAAATGAGGAGGGGGCTGAAGGAGGCTGAGCATTGTTACCTGGGCTTGCAAGCACATTTCAGGTCATGAAAAAATGAGAATTTATTAGTGCTTCACTAAGAGCCTGCACTAGCCCTGAGAAAAGCCCTTTATGAGTGAGCAGACGCTGAGTATGGCTGGGGCTGATCTGAAGAGTGGGAATAGAGGGGGTGCAGGGGTTGGTGTATCCAGACTGGCAGAGCGCACTGCAGAGCTGCACAGCCCCTTCTCTCCCCCAAGCTGTTTGTTTTCCAGGGAAGCACAGGGTATGGATCCTGGGTGTTTGTCAGCTTTTCCAATGCCCCGACAGACAGGCCACATGTCAAACATGCTATTTACCAGGAAGCACTTTTATTGATTTTTTTCTGATAAGAGAGTAAAACATTGGCAAAGGTTTCTCTTRCTCCTTATCATGAGCATCAACACAGAGCAAATTTCATGCATTAGTCCAGGACTTTTTTGAAAATAATGTAGAAAGCCTAAATAAATCCATTCATCTGGCGGCAATSTCGCTTCTGGAATAGCTGCTTTGTAGCACTTATTCAACTGCTGGGAAGTGACAGATCAGCAGYCAAACAGCACAGCCAGTCCTGGCACTCACAGGGGATTGTGGGGGGATAGAGAACTGCCCCACGCAAAAACAGATGCTAGCAACGATTTGCTAAAGAGGTATGTCCTGTCCCAGAGCTGAAAAGTACCCTGGGACCCTTTCTGCATCTGCCTGCACACAGCTCTCSTTTGCTTCAGCCTGAACGATTCAAAAGCACATTTTGTCTTCAACAGTTTCACATCTGCCACAAACACCACGAGAAAACAGGGCAAAGCCTTCTCTGCAGTGGGAAAAGAACCTTAATCGACAGCTCTCTTTCAGCAAGACTTAGGAAAAAAAACCAACCAACAAACCCATGCTTCTAAAAAGGCAGTAAATAAATTGGGATTCAGTGGAAGTGAATGCAGGCTGTTTTAGGGGGAGGGAGGAAAGGGAGGAGTAYAAAGCAAGAGGCACTTAGAGTCATGAAAAAAGCTGAGAATCGATAAACAGACTGAAGAACAACCAACAAAATGCACCAGGACTGAAAATGAAACAAAAAAAAAAAAAATCCCTCCAGCCTTAGGGAATTTGTGTTGCATATACAGCTGCCCTGGCCCAGGAAAAGAAAAATTGAGGGACCTTAAACTGTAGATGGCTGTGGCCAAAACCCCACACATCTTTAATTCTCAACTTTAAAAATACCTGATATTTCCCATATCTTACCTTATGGCTCTCTAGGGCTGGGATCAATCCCTGAAGAGTTGGGGTTGCACTTTTCTGCCACTCTCAGGGGTTTTGTCTGATGGGGTGGGAAGGAACASTACAAGAAAAGAAGGTTTAGGAATTTGCCTTGGGAAGTTTGTAACCATGAATTGTGTGCACTGAACACTCTCAGCACCATACCCAGTTTATAACAAACACATGGAATCRAATTTATTTGTTCTGCTTGTATTTCTTTCTTCAAAATGCATTGCCATAAACCTGTGAGGCTTCTTAAAGCTTGGGAACCTGCTTGTTTAAGACACTTCTCCTGCTGGAGATGTCCTTTAAGCTTCAGCCTGAGCACCAGGAGCTCAGGCAAAGGAGATCTGTACACCACTCCCATCGATTCCTGCTATCACGCTAAGGAGAAAAATAAAATAATCCCACCAGCCCCTGCTCATGTCACAGAAATTCCTAGGCAAGTAGACAGAGCACATGGAAAAGCACCTTGTGTCAGCACAAATGTCCCCTCGATTACAGAATGTTTCCTTCCACAGGGCAGCAGCTGCTCTGGGGTCTGTGGGGTGAGGTGATATTTGAGGCACTGACAGCCCTGCTGTGGGGTCTGAGCAGGAGTTTTCCCTGTGGGACTCTGTGTGTGAGTGCAGGGCAGTGAGTGGGAGTCAGTTCACGCTCTGGGGTGGTGATCTGGGACTGGGGCAGTGAACAATCACAGAATCAATCACAGAATCACAGAATCACAGAATCACAGAATATTCTGAGTTGCAAGGAACACACAAGAGTCCAACTCTTAAGCACCAGAGCAAGCCCAGTGGGCTGCCCCAGGCACGGGTCTTGCTCACACTTTGGAGCAAGTTTTCCCTCGTTCAAACACACTCAGTTGAGGATCATCCCAACCCTGCAGCAGGCAGRTCCCTTGATGCTTACCCCAAAGGCMTTCAGAGTCAACCCTTGTGTACAATGAGCCCTTCTGAGGTTTGGGACCATTTACAGACAGCCCAATCAGCCAGTTGCTGATTTTTCTCTCTGGGAAGGATCCCTGATCAAGAGCCTTGCTTTAAGCCTGGTTTCCAGGAAAAAGAAAAAAGAGCCCACATGATTTAACTGTGCATTTACAAATGCCAGGATCTTCCTCACCAAACTTTGAATCAACCAGCCCAGCTCACCCAACTCTGACAGAGGAGTTGGCATTTCCAGCTGCTTTTACCTGCTGGGCTGAGAGACCTTGGAGGTGGCACATGCCAGGGGACCTGGTGGAGTGTCACATTCCCCACGTGAACACTTCCCTCTCCTGGAAACCAGAGCTTGGAGCTGGAGGGAATGGGGCACTGACACTTGGCTGTGTTTTACTCTTGTACAGGGTGAGAGTGAWTCTGTGGGACCCAGAAATGCAGAGGTTTGGGGGTTTTGCAGTCCAGACACAGCCAGAGATAGCCAAATTCTGCAGGTTTTGTGGGAACAGGCAGCTGGGTATTCACGCTTTCCCCAGGGAGAAGAGTGAAGCATGAGGTCATGCTTGGCTGGCAGGGAACCCCTGTGCCAGGGAAAACATGGACACAGAGCTCACAGTGCCCCAGCTTCAAGAAGAGCTTCAGCTGAAGCTTTCATTCCCTCAGATGTCAGAGACAACCCACACAGGAGACAGATCTGCAAATCATCCGGTCATCAGCTCTTTTATTTGCTTTTATTTGCTTTTATTTGCTTCTTCCCACCTTCCCTACCCAGCCCTGAGCATGGTCTACCAGCCCACTCCACTCCTGGGGTACACAGATTAAGAGGAAAGGATAAGGTAATACATTTTATGGTTTGCAGTTACATTCTGCCCTGCACATCTTCACATCTGACACCGGTTTTTTCTCAGGGCCTGAGCTCCACAGGCAGGACCCTCACATCCCCTCGAATGTAAATCTGCAATCACAAGATGATCTTATCCATTTTTCTTTGCTCTGGTTTCAATCTCCCTTCCCTTTGCCAGCACACTTCCAATGTACAAARCATGTTTCCCTGTGTTCATTTTCAACTCCTTTCTATTTCCATTTTAGKGTTTTCTTTCTCCTTGCTCCGTCTTTTGTCTGTCTTTTGTCTGCCAGTCCTCCTTTCCTCCTTCTGTCCTATTTCAAAATCTTCCCATGAGTCAAGCCCACTATCTGTAAAGAGTAATGCTGTCAGCTTTAATAGGAGCTGAATTAACTCCCACGGCTTTCATCTTCCCATGTCGGTTTTTTTTTCCCCTGAATCCTCTGTCTGTTCCCCCTCATCCCAGCTCCTGTTTCCATTTTCAGCTTCTCTGGAACTCACTTGAACTTTTCTTTCCATTACATACCTCACACCCTTCTGCTTCAGCCTCTCCTTGAGYCTTTCCTGCTCTTTTCCATCTATCCATCTCGCTGCAAACAATCTGCCTAATCTCCCCAGCTATCGAGCATTTCAGTCCCCACCCACCACTGCTGGATGGGAGCACCTCATTCATATTAAGATTAGGATCTCTCTCTTGTTSCCTCCCCTTTCCTTCACAAACGACGCCAAAAAGGCTGCTGTGGGGTTTTGTTCAGCAGTTCTGCCTCTTCCTTCCCTGCCCCTCCCTAGTTCTCCGGGAAAAACAGACCGCCAAGAGATGTGGGTTACACAAAATCATAATKGGGCTGTTAAATACAGCAGAGATTTACTGTCTTGCTTTCTCACCCAGAACACGACATGAGRCCTGATGTAATATCATCCAAATCACTGCAAGGACTGAAATGTAACTCCACAGGAGCAGGGACAGACCCCAGGAGAGGAGACTGGCAGAGGACAAGTGGAAAAAGAAAACTGGAGGGGAGAGAGGACTGTAGAAGMTGGGAATAAAAGGAGAAGAAGCCCATATTACCTGAAACACGATCTCCCTTGTAATCGGGGCGTCCCTTGAAATCTGCATTTCACTGAAACAAATTACCACTCCCTGGGGAAGAAGGCTGATCCTGACTCTAGTCGGGGAAAGGAGGATCCACCCATCATGAACTCAGCTGTTTCTTTCTCACAGTTCATAGGAAAGTCATTTTCTCACAGCCACCRCTTCTCTCAAACACCTGTGCTATTCTGGGAAATAAAGCAGGAAYGGGCAACTTTGTGCATCACCCAAACTAGACCACAGAAGCACAAGCAGGTCTGGAAGGGATTCAGTAACCTTGAAAATAACAAAAAGGAGTGGATCCTGCTCCTTTCTGTGCCCAAAACCAGGAGGAGAAGATACTGAGAGATATTTATTGGAGTATTTTCTCTTTCTGTGGGGCCAGGAGGGAAAGGAAACAGAAAACAACAAGAAGGGTGGACAGATATGAGCATCTCCTACCCTCTTCCTAGGTGTGAGAGAGGACTCGACGATGAAAGCCTCTTCTGGGTTTTTCTGGGCTGTGACATCTGCCTGCAAAAAGCAGTAATATTTAGGGCAGGGTAYTGGGAGCAACGTGGAGAGCAGAGAACTGAACCTGCCCAGAGATTTCTTCAGAGATTTGTTCAGTCCCACAGTGGAAGAGGGTYAAAGGTGAAGTAAATCTACATCTATGTTTTAGAAAAGATGCTTCCAGCCCTGGTAACCTGTCTAGGCTGCTGCAGGCAGGCACTTCTCTAAAACACAGGGGCCAAATCCAAAAAATGCAGACAGGAAAATCATCCCAAGTTGCCAGACAGCTTCTCTGACAAGGAAAAGGAAAGAGAGAGAAAGAAAGAGGATATGCAGAAGGAAAAAGGAGGGAAAAAACTCAGGGCCATAAAAAAATAATTCAAAATCTCTTAATCCACAAAATTTCAAATCAGCTATGTTAAGTTAAATAAATTGTGCTAGTAAGTTAGGGCTGCCTTAACTCACCTTATCTAGCCACCACAGTCCTTTAAGTGCATCAGCAGTAAATTATGTGCATTTGGCATGAAATTCTTGCAATCAGAATTAGGTTTCTGCAGGTTTTAGTTCTCCTCCTTTCTCATAGCAGGAGCTGAGATGGAAATGATGAACAACTCTGTTCGTATGCTACTCACCATTTCCCCTTCCTTGATTACTCAAACTTTCCACTCCAGGCAGTGCAATTAGCAGCTCTTTCTGCCATACTGAGGCTTTGCAGCAGGGACAYGACACCAGCACATGTCCCAGTCTCAGTCCACAGCGCTGAATTAATGTACTGTGGTTTTCCACAGACTTCCATAACTGCAGGGAAATGCCTACAGGAAGGAAAAGACGATAATTCCACGTCCACTGGGATGATTTAGAACCCCAAAAGAATAACTGGAAACTTGGTTGCAAAAGTCAGTAGACTTGAGAAACAGCASAGCGTAGTTTGTGAAGAGAGGCAATGATGTTGATTGTCACTAGAACGAAAAGGATTGCAGCATAAATAATGCAAGAGGGAAGGAAGAGGGGGCAGACAAAAATAACATATTATTGGCTGTAATCAATAACTATCATCATACAGTTTTTATGAGAATCTATCCTCCCTGAATAGGTGAAGGCATAGGAGTGTATCTCAGTAGCCTAAAAATCAGAACGTTAAAGAGAAGTAAAGCAGACCATGTTTTTGCCACTTGTCAAGTAAAACACGACATGTTCCTGAGTAAATAAGGCAGTATGTCTGCTGGCAAACTGTGCAGAGTGTAATACTGTCATCTGTATATTGAGGGAACCCAGATCTGCCAATTCAGAAAAAAAAAGTGTGGCTTCCTAGAAATTAATAATCTCATCTGATTGGTAATGAGAAGACTCTTTCCTGAAAGGACATCTCCTCTCTTTGGGTCAATTTCTTGGGGAATCCCCACACTTCAAACTTCAACCTGAAGAACTTGTGCCAACAGTTCTGGCGACTGTCAGAGAGCACAGTTTAGGAGGCATCCCCAGAAAAGCCTTTGCCTGATAAATTCCTCAGGTGGCAGAGTTAATCTTTGTCCCAGAGCCCCACATTGCCTTTCCTGCTGCAGTGCTCCAGGGACAGATYATGCCTTGCATTCTCTGTGCACCTCAAGGTGCTTTCCTTTCCCTCTGTAAAAGCATCTTGATTTCCTATTGGAAGCTGAAGGATACTTACGTGTCTCCACACATCCATAAAACTCACAAATAATGGAAGAGATCTTTAAAATGCATCTGTGTTTCCTCTGCAGAGAAAACTGAGAGGACTGAGGTCAAAACAGCTCACCATCTCTCCAACATTAGTCAACGTGAGGCATCTATACTTAGCTTTGCTTCACATCCTTTGGTATTCTCAATCCTAAACACTTCTGTTTGCTACCTTGAAGCTGGAGCAAAGGTGACCCACTCTCCTGCCTTTAAAGGCAATTTAGAAAAGTGAAGGCATTGCTGTGCAACAGAGAGGATGACTTGRCAGGAGATGCCCTGCCAGCATGAGTCACACTGCTTTTCTAGGATGGGGCTCTTACCATGCACTGGACACGGACCAGGTTACTTTTTAAAAATGCAAAATACAGTCCTGTAAACCTGCAGTGACCCAGTGACATTCAGGAGAGCTGAGTGGAAGGAAGGCAGTGTAWATCGTAGCCAACAGAGACTGAGCACCCAAGGTAGTCACATTGTGTTCCCCTCAATATGCTCTGACAGTCCACAGACAGCTGGTTGGTCATATGGTGCCAGTCTCTTCTCCCTGCTTCGAGCTGCCACATGATATTAAAAGGAGCAGGAARGAAGGGAAATCCCTTCTTAAAATCATGTATACAAGCAATAGCTGAATCAATGCAGATGGAAGGGGATTCTGTCCAAAACACACWGTCAAAAGCAGCAAGTGCTTCAGAGACTGAGAGCCAGTCTCTCCTGAGCCTGATTTCACGGGGAAAGCCACTGCACCTGGAGATGTCAAGCCCGGGGAGGAGGTTTTACTTGGTCCGATTTTTGGTGGTGGGTGGATGGGACCAAGAAACCACAAAGATGGCTCCTGTGAGGAAGTTCTAGAAGATTTCTCCTTCTTCTCCAGCAAAAGGAACCCTGCCCCCTGTGTTTTAGAGCCAATCCATTRTGGCTCTGAGGTTGATGGACAGGCTGCCCATCAGGCCWGGGCCAATTGCACAKGYTRGTTACACCTCTGTGATGATGTATTGTCCTGTATTTAAGAAGAATTCAAAACAAGATAGTGGCGGCCGCCATGTAGTTTTTAGGTTGTTAGTATTTAGTTTTGGTATCATGCACTGGGGAAAAACAGAGCAGGAGGGTGAGGAGATGTAAGAAGAAAAAAAAATGGAGATCCAAGATCACAGTAAGGAGAAGATGGGATGAGTTGCTGTGCTGTTGCTGTGGTTCTCGAGCATGGAGAAAAACAAGATGTTCTAGAAAAGACTATTTCATCAATGAGAGACCTGTATGGAAAAGGAGAGTGACCTTGCTCTGAGGGAAAAAAAACCTGGCATTTGAGAACTGGACTGAACTGATTAGGAGCCAAAAAAAAGAGGAAGAGGCTTGGCCCCCCCACGACGATTGAAGCGAGTTGATGCTAAGAAGAAGTGGATGCTTAGAAGAAGCTGTGTTCTGCCAAGAGATTTGTGATAGTGGTCTTACGCCGCCGAAACAACGCAGTTTGGCCTTAAAGGACATTCTTTCCTTTCTCCTACGAGGTAAAGAAAAGACTCCCTTGCCATCAGCAGTTATACACTGACTGTTTCTTGGGAAAAGACCTTCCACAGCTTGGAGCTGTGAGAACGCTTCTCCTATGGTGCTGGATGACAACGGTAATGAGTGGTTTGATCTATGTTAGACTTTCATTCCTGTCCCCTGTGTGTGTGTAGGAAGACATGGGGGGGTGGAGGTGGAACGACCTGAGACAGAGATGGGTCCCTGGAAAGGATAACATGTGTCTTAAAATGTCCGGTTTTATTTTTCTTCTCCTTGTAAGTTTTTCCCTATCTCTGTTCCCCTCCCCGGTGCGGTAGTATTCTTAGTAGATTTTAGTAATAAATCTATTTTGCAACTGAAGTTATTCAGCCTGTCTGACCATTCTTTGGAGCATATACGTATCTTTCTCTCAATTATGTTATGTTATCTGAAAGCCATACATTTTAGTGTTAATTGGGCTTTTGCTCTCCCTTCTGCCCTCTTCGGTGGAGGGAAGGGAGGGAATGTCGTGGATGCAGTGCTTTTGGCTTTCAGCACAGATGAAACCATGACATTTTTGGTGCCATGACTCGGATTGGGAAAAAACAGGTTTAAACCCATGACACATGCATAAAAGCAATAGCTGAATCAATGCAGGTGGAAGGGGATTCTGTCCAAAACACACAGTCAAAAGCAGCAAGTGCTTCAGAGACTGAGAGCCAGTCTCTCCTGAGCCTGATTTCATGGGGAAAGCCACTGTACCTGGAGATGTCAAGCCCGGGGAGGAGGGATCTGGTGTGGCAGCCCCCAAAGCACTGCCTTTGATGCAGAGGGCAGCTCCCACCACCATCAATATCACCAATGTCATCACCATGAGTGACTCTGATTCAGGCCATGGGGCAGGGCCCTCAGCCACGTTCCTGATGGGAGCCCTTCTCCAGGATTGTCTGGGTAATTCAGTACAAACATCCAACCAAAAGAGCACTGAGGATGTCAAGGCATCCTCCTCATCCCACGTGGTGACCCCGAGTCAGATGAGGGCACAGTGAACAGCATCCTCCCCCACCTTCCACTTTCTGTGCAAAGGAAACTGGGCAGAAAGCTGGAGGGATGCTGTGGATTAGAACTTTTGTTCCCACTGCAGTGAATTCCTTTCTACTTCTCATGAAAACAGCATCTTCTGGAAAAATCAACAGGCATTCCCTCCTACTCTTCCTTGGTGGTACAGGCTCCTGCCTGCAACCTCCTGTGTTTTCCAGGAGAGAAGGGAACAGAGGATGAGAGGCAGAGCAGAGCATGGCAGGGCTCCAGTGCCACAGGGAGGGTATGAGAGGGAGGATGCCTGGGAAAGCCATGGCTATGCCATGCTACCTACCCAACGGGGAGAATTAGGCAAAATTTGCTGGGAGAAGCTGCCTCCCTTTGCTCTTCATCCATGATGGTTGCAGCAAYAGCAATGGAAAATTTTACCTGACACGGTGATGTGGAGGCAAGAGAAGTCTGGTTKCTCCTGTACCACAGTCAGATCCTACCTCCTGCAGAAGGCAAGGTGAGCCAGAGGAGAGATCTGTGCCAAAATCTGCATTCCACTAAACCACAGATCCCAGGAGAAATGGCTTTAGCCTTGGTAGTCATCTCACAGGATGTCTGCTGAAAAAGGGCTCCCCAAAAATACTCTGCCCTTTCACCCACTGGCAGCTTTGAGGGGAAGCAGAGACCTTATTTTCAGTTCTCCAAGGAGAACTGAAAGTTCACCTCTTGAGGTTTCTTTAAGAGTGGTTCAAATCATTTCAGGARCAACCTGCTCTCCTGGCTCTCAGTCTTCTGGTCACAGCCTTGTTTTGCATGGCACCCTTTAATTAGAGACCAAAAGAGACYTTGTGCTCAGGGCGCTCTCAGGGAGGGCAAATCCTGGGCTCCCATCCCTGCACTGAGGCCGGGACTTGGCCTGTGTCACACAAACCAGGGCTCCTGCTGCCCATTCCTCTTTCTCTCACACACAGTCCAGAAATATTAAAGCCTTGGATATCAAGCAGCATTGCTGCCATGGCGTGCTCAGCATGGTCATCCCATGGAATCTTGGAGGTGTTCTCTAGGATGCTGGGACACCAGCAGAGGCAGGAGGGCAGCAGCTGTTGGCTGTGCTCCGATGGAGCTGAGGGAGCTCTTAAATTCCATGTGGGAGCATCTCCTCTTGACAACAACTCTAAACTCCATCTGGGAGCATTTCTTCTGGAGAAAGAAGAGGACCAGGACATCCAAGAGCTGGAGGGATGAGGTGTGACCTCGGTCCCTGTCCCAGGCTGTTGGAGCCGCCCTGCTGAGTGTCCCGGCTGGCATTTAAGGAGCTGGCACTGTCTCCGTGGGCACYGCGGGCTCTCTCTGGCACAAGGAGCCGGCTCCTGGCAGCACCGTGGCACCGGAGCGCTCGTCCTGCCCGCATCCCAGC